CTGGAGTGTCATTAGTCCCAGTATTCCAAAATTTTGATGTCTCTGACCCCACATTTAACTCTTTACCTGTTTTAAAACTTAGAAATACCCTTCATCACAAGTAGTGATTTTACAGCATCTTACTACACTGATGGACAGTGACTGTGAAGGGGTATATGGGGGGCACTTGGTAAAGGGGGGAGCCTAGTAAACATAATGTTCTTCATGTAATTGTAGATTAATGATACCAAAAAAAAACCCCTTCATCATATCCTTCAATGTTAGGGATGAGGAATCTTCATTTTAAAAAGGCTGCAGTTCAGCAAGAAAATTTGATTCCCACCTAGAGGAAAAGAAAGAGTTAAGGTGTGAACACTATCCAGTGTGAAGGAGAATGAGCAAGTGGGATAACTAAGTGGGAGGGCAGAAAGCGGTGGGCCACAGCTAGGGACAAAATGTGCCAGATGAAGCACAGAAGGTCAAAATCCAGGCCATCTAGTTACCCTGGGCGTAAGAGGGAAGGGATCTGGGGAGAGGGAGGCCCCCAGAGTGGGAGAAGTGTTGAGGGCTAGGGACCCCTCCCTACTCTGTTCCCATAACCTCATTCGTTCCTTCAACACTCCTTCCCAATCCCTCTCAGGCTGCTCTGCTCCTTCAGTTCTGACCCCATTTCCTCAGGATCTCATTCCCGGTGGAGCTGGGCCTGACATTTCAGACAGAGGCTGAGGAAAGGAGGTAGGTCGGAAAGAGACACCGTGTGTTTGCATTCATTTTCCATTTTATTATTTTGGAGCCTGAAGGCCAAGCGTGAGCACTTAGACATTTACCAGGAAGTTCGGAGACAGTTCCCTCAGGTACCACAGAATATCACGACTTCTCTATTCTCTGCTGAACCATTGCTACTGAGTCCCTGATTTTGGAGGGTGAAATGGTGATTTGGAATTCCCATTCTTGTTGGTTATTGTGACATAAGTGCACAGGATGAGGGTCAAGGTGCCCTGAAAGTAGGGCCTGACAGAACCTTCAGAACTGGAAAGCTCTTGGCTATGACGACCCCAGCCTTCTCTTAATTCAGTAGCCAGCAGAGTTAAGACCTCCTGCGGATCCTCCAAAGTGCTGTGATTCCCCACAGCCTGCAGCTCTTAAGACCCCAGACCTTATAGGGACTGCTTGAGGAGTGGCTATACCTCTAACTCACACCTGTAGGAAAAATAACTTCTGGAGTCCTCATTCATGTGTGAGAGCTTGGACATCCCAAGCCCAGGCTAGGATCAAGGGACTGAACATTTGCTGTGGGAACCCTCAGAGGCCAACAATTCTCCCATAATGAATAACAATTTATTGATCTACTTGGTATGTATGATCCTCCACTTTTGATGTTTTGAGTGCCTGTCTCTGACACAAAGTCCTAAAAGCAGGAACCGGGTAATAGTTCAATTGGAATAGCATCTAGCCCAGTGCCACTTCAGCATGTAGGCGTCATGGTCTGCTGGGCTGTGACTCCTGGGTAGGGAGCATGTGTTTGAACATCATTGCATTCCTTAGTGTCTAGCTCTGTGTCTGGCACAGAGTGGTCATTTCAGTAAATTGGTGATGAGTTAATTGGTGACAATCGTGTTGATGAGGATGACAGGGGGACAGTGACAAAGGTTTTCTTGTAAGTTAGAAGATGCTTTGTAAGGCCAGGCATTCCCCCTTAGCAGCACACAACCTCCCCAAAGCCATGGCTTCCTTTTTTTTTTTTTATTCTTAATTTTTTAATTTTTAAATTTTGGTTTCATTAATGTACAGTTACATGAGCAACATCATGGTTACTATACTGCCCCCATTATCAAGTCCCCACCACACACCCCATTACAGTCACTGTCCAGCAGCATAGTAAGATGCTACAGAATCACTACTTGTCTTCTCTGCGCCACACTGCTAGGGCTTCCTTTTATTGGAGGAAACAGACAGGGTTTGATCTTCAGATGAGGTCTTTATTCTCCCATCAGGCCTGAGCCAGAAGAGGCTATCAGTGATAAAGAGGGGAATAAGAGACAGCTGGTTGGGCATGATACCTAGGTAAGGAGAGGACAGGGATCTCCTGCATGCCTGCCTTCTCACTCCTCCAACTAGGTCAACTTTGGTGTTTTTTTGCCACCAACTTATCAGGAAGAAGCATAAATCTCTGGACTCAGAAGATCCAGTTCTTCAGCTGTGTCATCTCCACTGTCCATGCCCTCAATTCCTGGTACCTTGACTACAGAACAAAATTTAAACCCTATGAACTTGAGACTACCCCCATTGCCCTTCTCTCCAAGGGAAGACTATCTGTCCAATACTAGGAGATTTTATCTTTGAATAACTCTGTCAGGTTGATGGAACAGAGGTGATTCTGGCATACAGAAAGGAAGCCACTTGATGAAACCATTTCAGGATTCCTCATTTCAGGACCTTTACCTCTAAAACATGCTGTATAGCTCAGCCAACAAAAGTCACTCATAAGACTGCTTGAGAATTTACATGTTGAGAGGGCCTACAATGGATCAAGTTGGCAGGCAAAAACAGATTTCAAGAGACCAGCTAGACCACCAATTGGCTCTCAGGCAGGCCAGAGGTCTAGAAGTTGAGTGTCATTGGGGAAAGTACTTGAATCTAGAGTCAAAAGATCTAGGAAGTAAGTATTGGGACTGCCATTTCTAAATGGATGAGCTTGGGCAAGTCATCTAGCGTCTGTGACTGGGCCTTCAGCAAACCAGGGACAATGATGTCTGCATTTTTACCTTACATGCCTATTGTGGAAATGTATGTGGGTGGTAGCTATAAAATACTAGGCAAGTGTTCATTTTAACATCTCAGCCAAATTTGCATCTTTGGAGACTATGTGAAATATAATAGTAATCCTTCTGTGTTCATAAGTCTTATGAGAATAGAGATTAGGGGTCCAGCTCTGGAGTCAGGCTATCTGAGTAACCTTTGGGCATGTTACTTCTTTCTGAAGCCTCAGTGAAGAAGAGATACCTATCTCAGAAGTGTGATCACAAGCATTAAAGGAGATAAGTGCTTAACATGTACCTGGGATGGAGAAAGGAAATCAAAGAATGTTAGCTGCTACCACTCCTCATTTTATTAATGAACATGTGAGGCTGGGTGGTCCGATAAGATCTGATAGAGTTCTGAGCTAGGAATCAAAAGGACTCACCTTTTTGGGCCTCAGTTTCCCCCCTTGCATCATAAGAATCCATGGTTTTCTTGTAGATTGTCTACAAGGATAAAAAAAACCCCCAAAATTACTATACAAAGACTTTGAACTAATTGGAATCAAGGAATATTATATTTATAAGATTTTTTTAAAAAACTGAGATAAGTTTATTAAGACTCTTGAGTTTTTAATCAGTTCATCAGTTTTTGTTCATTCCTCTCTGCCTTTGGTAAAGTTGTCCTCTTCATGAAAAAGTAGTACAGCATTTCCTAGTCAAGAAAAAAGATTTCAAATGTCAGATCTTGATGTAAATCCTTAAAATCTGCAAGAATATACTCTTTGCAAAGAAAACCTTTTTTTCAGGGTATTCCATTGCCTCAGTTTGTTCTGTGTATGTAGGCTGATTTTTTTGTAGGCTGATTTTATCATTCCACCAACTCTTGAATTTCCACTTTGGGTATTATCTGCTTTCAGTATTTAATCCCAGAATGACCTCTCCTTGCCTTGGAGCATGCTCCCAGATTACCTCCTTTTCTCTGATTAGTTAGTATGGCTTCAGGGAATACATTTATTTTAATATTAAACTGGGCAAAAACAGAAATAGAAAGATAAATTTGTAGCAAGATAAAAAATAGAATTCATAGCTAAATATAAATCTGGAGGGAATTATCCAATTATTTGGATGGTCCCTTATCGCAGACAATCTAAGGTTTATTGCCTTTTCCTTTTTCCATATATAGAACAAAAGGGTTAATAAATACGAAGAGTAATAATTATTTTCTTGTGAAGAGTAATACTTTTTAGTAGTAACTTAAATGCTGATTTATTTTCCAAAAGTATTCATATATATTGTACCTGTAATTTTCATAACTGCATGCATTCTCTTTGGGGACTGTCCAGTCCCATTCTGACTTGTAAGTCAGAGAACACTGAATGGGAAGACCAGGATTTGCTAATGGAGTTACTGTGCAAATTTGAGCAAGTTTCTGTCACTTTGTTTCTTCCATTCTGCGGAGCTAGACTTGGAATGGACGACTTTGAGGGGAAATTCCCGGCTCCTTTTCGGTCTCAATTTAATTTACAGGTTAGCAGCTGTTTTTTTTTTTTTTTTTAGGTTGGACCGACATCAACTAGGAACTTGGAAACGTTGAGAGAGAAAAATGTGGGTGTCACACGAGGCACGGTAGCCATTAACTACACGAATATAATGCAAATAGCATGCAAATAAATGCAAACCTTAGATTATTTTGCAGAATCGTACTTTGGAGCTTGCAAACAGTGCTGAGATCATATGAAGATACAAAGCGAATGTTTTTACATTAAACCAAAAATAATGCTTCTTTATGTTACCGCTTCCTCCGTGCTTGCCTGGACTCAACTGCTGAAAGTTTGACACTCCTCCCTACCCCCCACAGTGATTTCACCAGTGCCTGATTACATCTCACACTCGGCTCCGCCTCCGCGCAGCCTGATGTCACGTGACACTATATTTGCATACTACCTGGGTCTGGGTGTGACGCTCCCCTTTTCTGCGTCTTCTCATTGGCGGCGTCAGAGAACAAGTCCTCTTCAGGACGGACCAATCTCCGCTCTACGGACGTCGAAAAGCAGGCGGGGAATGGAATGGGGGTGGGGTCTTGGGTTGGATCGCTAGGCACATCAACCACTCATCTTCTGGGAAGGGAAGAGCGGGCCGTGGATTGGTTAGGAGGAGGGATCTGGGGATCCATAGGCCAATGAGAGTCCTGAGTTGCGGGGGCCGGTCTCCGCCCCGTAGGGCAGATAAGCAGCCGCAGCGGGGGTTGGGGGGCTGTGTGGGACTCGTTGTGGGGCCAAGGCGGGCTGGCGGCTGGGCGGGCGATGGCGGGGGCCGCAGCAGGCGGCAGAGGCGGAGGGGCCTGGGGGCCAGGGCGCGGAGGGGCCGGGGGGCTCCGGCGGGGCTGCTCTCCCCCAGCCCTCGCCGGCTCCCCCCGGGCTGGGCTGCAGCCGCTCAGGGCCACGGTCCCCTTCCAGCTGCAGCAGCCGCACCAGCGCCGGGACGGGGGTGGCCGCGCAGGTGAGCGGGGCTTGGAGCGGGTGCCGTGGGAGGAGCCGTTGGGGGAGGGGGGGGCGCGTGACGACAGGGAGGGGTACGGGAAAAAGCGTGAGGGATAAGTGGACCGGTGCAAGGGAGGAGAAAGGTGGTCTAGAAGTCTGCGAGGGCGGAGGGAGCGAGAGGGTCCGTGAACGCGGCGTGCACCGCGGGGACTGTGATCGTGCGGGGAGTTGGGGCCGGGAGGTGAGGGGAGGGACCCGGCAGATGGAGGCTGGCTTTGGGGGCGTAACCGAAAAGTGGGCAGAGGTATTGTGTGGGGGTGAATGGAAGATTGCAGGGGTGGCAGCGAGGTGTGAGGAAGGAATGAGTAGCGCTTCATGGGGGCGCCCTGTGCAGTGCTGGCGCTGGAGCGTGGAGCCGGTGGGCGCTGGAAATTTGCACGAGGAGGGGGAGGGGCATGGAGGAGAGCCCCGTGGAGCCATGTGTTACTTCTCCGACTTTAGTTTGGCCCCAGCATCCCGTTCTACAGCTCTGGAGTGCCTTTCTCCACCTCGCGTGCACTACCCTTTCTGCCACCTCCTGGAGCTAATTTCGTGTAAACCATTGGAGTAAGTTAGTTTAACGGCTTTTGCTACGGTACAAACGCACCGCTCCAGTTGCCCTACATTCCTCTTGTGTAGCTCAGAAGTTGTGTGTTCCCAGATCATTGACCTGCTTAATATGGCTGTCTCATTCTAACCATTGTGTGTGTGTGTGTGTGTGCGTGCGCGCGCGCGCGTGTATAGACCTGGGCAGTTTGCCCCCTGCCTTTCCCTCCTCCCCGCACCAAAACTGTTTTGTCCTGGGCATTGCCAGTCAACGTGGCAGTGGGGTGAGGGCTACAATCAAGAACACTGTGGCAAATACCCCCACTGTCTAATAGCCCTGAAATGGTGTCTTTAGAGCCGCTTGATGTGGTGGGTGTGGGGAAACTAGGAAGGAGCAAGCTTAACCTTGCTTTCACACTCAAAGCTGTGATGGATTCCCCACAAGTGTAAGCAGTTAGGAATGGGAAAAGGAACCTACTTGCATGAGGAGGTTGGCAATAAGTTGAAAGTGAGGCTTGCGTTTGATTCACACCAGATGTGAAAAGATCATTGCACACTTCCAAAGCCTCGGAGTCTACCAAATATGCAAAAATCATGGTCCCTGCCATCTAACGGTTAATGACAGTCTCTAAACCAGGTTTCTTGAGCTTTTGTGATTACTAGGCTTAGTTGTTGCACATCCCCCTCCTGAAAGTATAGCTGCTACCGTGCCTTCTTAGGTAGTAATGGAATTAAGAGGGTCTCTGAAGTAGAAAGTCTGAGTCTATGTGGACCTCATTGTAAATGTTAGCATTGTATTTTGGAACTCAGAAACTTGGTCAGATTTTGTAGGTAGCAAGATGGTGACCCAACTAGTAAAAAAAATGTATGCCTAGAATCTGGTGATGGTGAGGAAGGCAATGTCCAGATAAACTCATGCCTATCATGAACCATAAAGCAAATCACAAGACTACAAACTTGTTGGTTTTGTTTGGGCTTCCTTGGAGTCCAGAGAAGTTAGTAGAACAGCGAAGCACCAGAAACCTGGTCACTTAGTAGAAATCAACAAAAAGGCTGTCTATGTAGCAGCTGGAAGTCTATTAGCAGTCATATTTTATAAGCACCTATTTTGTGTCTACCATAGAACTGATATGGAAAGGACAAACACTGGTGGGTGCTGTGGAAAGAAGAGTGTAAGTTTGCATGACTGGGATCTTTACACGGCCTGTTCTGGGCCAGGAGCCCTAAGATACTGGTAAAACTATAGGAAGCTAGACCTCTGTGTAACTTGTCAGATGATTTAGGACAAGTTGGGTGGTCCACCTAATAGGTGGACTATTTTTCCACCTATTAGTATGTCAGAGGCATTAATAAGGCACTTAGCTGGTATGTAGTAGAATTATCTATAGATATTCAGTGAGGCAGGAAAAAAAGGAAAGTTAGAAGAGTGTCTGAGTCTGTGGGCTTCTTTGTGGCCAGACATTATGGGAATGTACCTGGCCTTTGGTTTGGAAGCACTTCTTGTCATCTACATGTTAATTTTAACCTTTGCGTGTTTTCAGATTGTTTCTATTCCTTGGCCTTGAGAAGTGGCAGAAGTGGTTTCCTCTACACCAGAAGGGTGTATGTGATAGAAGGAAATGCCTTACAGTCAAAAACCCTTAAGAGAATGGCTTTGGGTGCCGGAATGCCTGAGTTTTGAACCCAGGTTTTGGCATTTAGTAGCTCTGTGGTTTGGAGGAAGTTAATTTCTGTGCCTCAGTTTCCTCATCAGTTAAATGTGAGTAATAATATCTACATTGTAAGAACCAAATGAGTTAATAGACATAAAATGCTTAAAACAGGGCCTGACACATAGAAGGTGCTAGAAAAGTGTTTGCTGTTGCTTAGGTTGTTATTACTCTACTCACCTAGCCAAGGTGAGAGCACTGGTGGCCGGAGCCCATTGCGTTTTCAGGCTTCAAAGAGCAAACCCATATTGGTCTGAAACCAGTACTGCAAGTTTCAGAATTTCAGGGCCTCTCTTTGCACTTTTATTCCCTCATCTTTTAAAATGAGCTGTCTAAACAGGGCTCTGAAACCTAACTGTTTTAAGAAGGCATGTGAGCTGGGACTGGGTTTCAGGAACAATTAAGTATCATCACTGTTTCTATTTCCCATCTCAGTGATGTAGTGCTCAGGGCTATGCAGTTATCTCTCCACCACACACCATGTTGTGTTCTTAACAAGATATATTATGAAAAAGGGATTATAGTGTAAAGAGCAGAACTTACCTTCTGTGGCCATTTATCCATAAGGGATGTCTTCATAAAGTAAGGAATGGCTTAATTTTTATGAGCCTGGGCTAGGGGGGTGGGAGGCAGGAGAGAATAGAGGGAAAAATGAAGGCCAACTCTAAGAAAGCTAAGAGCCAGCAGTGGGTAATAGAAAACCTGGATAACTTTCTTGCAGTTCCCCCTTTAATTAAATTCTCATTTGTGTCTGTGTTAATGGGAAGCTGCAACTTTTATGTTCTTCTTACCCACTGATGGACAAAATGGGACGAGTTGGTGAATTGTTCTGGGTCCCAGTCTTACCTATCCTGTTTAGTGTTTATCTCCATAACCCTGGAATGAAGATGTTTAATCCAGCTTTGCAAATTCTTCTGCAGTAGACCCACTCTACTGGGGCCAGCTGGGTGCAGGATGAGCCAAATACTGTTTCTGTACCTCCTCTGCTCACCAGAACCATCTTAACCAGAGGTTGGCAATTATGGCCTGCAGGCCAAATCCAGGCCCCTCCCTGTTGTTGTAAATAAAGTTTTATTGGAACATAGCCATGCTCCTTTTAGGTGATGTCTGTGGCTGCTTTTGCATCACAACGACAGAGTTGAGTAGTTTTGATAGAGATCGTATGACCTGCAAAACCTGAAATATTTACTACAGGGCACTTCACAGAAAAAGTTGGCCTACCCTTGTCTGGATGTTGCTGACCATTATTCCTAAATAAAGATCAGGTTCAAATGTGTGTAGTATACACCTCTTCAGAAAACCCTAAGGGAGTAAAGAAAACCAACAAGCCCGTATCCCCACTTGGGTATTTTAGGAGACAAGGGGGGCATCAGCCTCCAGTCAGTTCTCAATCTTCGTGGAAGATCAGCACATGCAAATCCAGGCTGCCTATCCCCACCATTGTCAGGCAACATATGTTCAGTAGACATAAACTCATTTGGATTTACATAAAAGCTTAACTGTTAGTCAAATTTTGACACCCACCCCAAACCCAACAACTGGCAACTGCAGTGAACATATTTCAAAATCGGATGAAAATTACTGTAGGCTTATCTCCTATTTTGGATTTTTCTCATTAACCCTTTGTTTTTTTCTGAACAGATCATTGAGAGCTGTCAGTAGTCATGGCTGTGCTGAAATACTGGCTTCCATAGGAACATAGGGACAAGGAAGGGTTTATTTCAAATGTCAGCTAGGTTCTCCAGGATGGCCATTTCAGTGAATATAAGGCAGCATTGTTACTAGCAATGCTATTGGTAATTATTAAACTCCTTTCCTTACAATGTTTCGAAAATTCAGTCTTTATGGGATGGGCTTTACACTAGGTATGGAACACATAAAGAAGGTTGCTTTTTAGAAGCCTGAGAGAAAGCCCTCATCTAACCATGGGCCTCCTGGACCCTGGTGCCAGAAACAGCCTGAAGATTAGAATGAAGTGCAACTTTTCTATGCCAAAAGAGCCATATTGCTGTAATGAAGCATGGGGGTGCATTCTATGCCAAGGAGCCATATTGCTATAATGAAGTATGGGGGTGCTTTAAGAGCTACAATTGTCCTTCAGAAACCTGACCGAGTAGCTTCTGTTTGAGAAGCAAACACTGCCTAGCTTGACACTGGGAGCTTGCTTTTGACAGCTTTCCTAGTATCTGGTACATGGTCTGTAAAATATATCACTGAAGTTTCTGAATCTTAAATATTATCACCAGTGATAGCGTCCTTGAAATTGGGGGCCGCAGTGCCTAACTATCCCTTTTAGTACCCAGAGAAGTGGGGGTTTGTGTGTTCTTCAGTATTTGGGATAGCAAAGGATTATATATATATGGGGAAGTTCTCCACTTATGTAACATAGAGCTAGGAATCAGTGGAGGAGGGTTGAGAACAACAGTAGGGTGTGATGTTAACAGGACATCATTCTCTCCGGTTCCAGATATAGACAGATGGCTAGAAAATTAGAGACAGGATTGCAAAACTTCTATAGTTGTGGTGGCAGTATGAGTGTTGCCAAAGTGGTTGGTGGGCTTTACTAGCCAGAGAATACTTTACGTGCATTTTCTGTTAGTTTACACTGAATGGTGTGCTGGACACCAGAGCCACACTTCCTTGATCTTAATGGAACTGTTCGAAGTCAAGCGTCGTCCTCTGGATTCTTACAACTCTCAGGTAGAACCTTTGTACCAAAGGATTC